TTGTGTTTCACTTTGCATGTTTTGACTTCCTGGATAACTAGGTTACTCAAACCATCCATAGTCGATCATACTTTGGAGGTAGGTATTGAGGCAAGACTATCATGAATGGGTCTGTAGTTTGTCTAGGACAAAGTGGTTGTAGTGTTCATGAGTACTCCTGGAATAAGATTCGAGTATTGGATTCAACCCACACTTATTTGAAACACTTCATGGATTTTATCACGAGTGATCATGAGACGATAATATCTTATATTCTTCAAACGGACACGTGTGAGTTGTAGTTGCAAGTCGGTTGCACATTAATATTTGTAAACGAACCAGTAACTTGGATGTTATAAAACATACCGTTGTGTGTAATTTGATGAGTAAGTACAAGTAAGCATTTGTGTCGAAGTTTATCCATTCCTTTTACCCCATATGGATAAAAGCGATATATGTGGGCCCCTCGATGATTTAGTGATGACACCCATAAGTGCTTGGCTAAGCCTGGACTAATTTGATTTGTTCAAATAATCGGTCGTCATAAATCAAAATCGGGAAAAAACAGATGGACAGAGAGAATGATTATAATCCATGTATCAGTCCATATGATATCCATAATGGAGGAATATATGATCCCTTATCTAATGGATGTGTCATTGACTAGACCAGAGTTCGATAACGGCTTTTAAGAGCTACAGTTGCTAGTCGGGTTGGAGTCATGCTTGCAATAATAGTTATTAGACTTATCAAAGTGGGAGAGTGTTGAATTAGGTATCTAATCCCATAACTATTATTGTTGTGTACTTGACCCGAGAGTAGCATGGTCCATTTGGGTTGCATGGCATCGAAACAATTTGGATAGACTTTTGTGAGAAGATGATATTTATGATGTATTAATATATTATAAGCTCTAATATATTAATATAAAATAATATTATTTAATTAGTATTGATCAAGAGATAGTTTGGAATTAATTTTGTGATCAAAAGAGACTAATTAAATAAATGGGGATTGATTTGGTAAATCATTCATTCTTATATAGTGGGCATATGATCCATAGTTCTTCATGTTGGGATAAATCCATGTGGTGACCCATGGATACTCCATGGTGGTTAAAACCCATGGATCATGAGGAGTATGGAAAGGCATGAGTTACATGGTGTAACCCTAATGTGCACACTGTATAAGAAGCCTCATAGCCCATGAAATTGGCACTAAGTGGTGACTAGTGATAGACACATGAGGGCTAGCCGATTTTGAGTGTGGATAACCTTCTCTCAAGTTATTCCAATTGTTGATGGTGTTGTGTGAATCATTTGAGGTGCAACACTTGGGGAACTAAGCTCTTTAAGGTCCAAGGAATCAAGCTACAACAAAAGGTATGTCATTCAACTATATTTCATATTATATATACTCCATAATATGCTAGTTAGGATGATACCTTGGAAAATTGATATTTGCATGTATAATAGAGAAAACATAGATCCAAGGTATATAAGGTTACATATACACCATAAGAGTGTTAGAATGCTCAAAACCCATCAACTATGTCTTGCCTGGAATTTACCAAAATGCCACTATGGGACCAATTTGAAAACAAAACTCATTCCAATGGCCAAAATCATAAACCTTCATACTTAAGAGTTAATTTTGAAATACCTCATTGTTGGGATGTTACAACCTCTACTCCACCAGACACCTATCCCGCCTCTAAACCCACAAGACCCTCACTCACACCCTCAAATCCAACGACACCTACCCATAACCACAAATACCACGCCTATATGGCACATCTATGTATGGTGAATGAGGGTCCTATTAGTTTAATAATACTATAAGGTATACGTGGAAAAAAGTAGGACATACTTTACATTTTTTAAAGGATCCACCTTATATATTTTGGTAAAGAAAGTATCAAAATGTATGAAGCCCATATTTTATATTCCAATCCACTTAAAATAGGTCAACGCTTCAATGCACTTAAAATATAATCATTAGGTAATAACACGTTCCATTGAAAATTAAAACAAAAAAAGGATTGTAATGTGAAATGTCCGTAGAGGGTTGATGCGTGAAAACATGATCAACATCTCCTCTGACATATCAGTGTTAATTGCTACCACTAGTCACCATTTCCCCATCTGACCACGACCACCGTCACCACTAGGTGCTTGTCCTCCGACAGTCCAACCTCCATGTCGTAGTTAGTCTTCATTCTTTAATTACAAATTTTGTTAAGTAAGAGCTCTTGTCTGTTTGTCTTGATTCTTTAATTTCAGATTTTGTTTAGAAATTGAAACATTGATTTTAATAACATTAAGAACACTGCTTTTTTCCAATTGTCTTGATTTGTCTTATGTCAATTTCATAATTTATTGATATCGTTAATAAAATTTAATTTCAATTTCAGGACTTTTAGAGAGTTGAGACATTGTTTTTGTGTAATTGTGTTGATTTCATGATTTGTCTATTTGATAACAAAACATTGATAATAGTTTATTAGTTTGATACCTTTGTAACATTCAATTTTAGATTCAAGAATGTCTTTTCACAAGTTTTTTAAAAAGAAAGAAGGTAATGAACAACATAAGCATACGAATGTTTATTTAAACTCACTTATTGTTGATCCAGCTGAATGACCAAGTATGAAATTTAACCATGTGATTCAAAAATAGGAAATTAGACAAATGTAATTGCAAAAAGCACCTTTCTAACCTCAAGAGCATAACTTAAACCATATGATTTTTGTTTGACTTACATAAGGAACCACATGGTTTTTGATTTTAGATTTACAACTGCTCATACCCATACCTACTGCACCACACCTGGTCCACTTGTACCCACACCAACCCTCAGCCCACCTCATCCATATCCCTACATCTAAATTACACCTACGACACCCTAACCCATCCATGCCGACCCTATAGTCACCCCACCACAACTGCCCGCAATTCTACTCTCATTCCCACCCCTAACTACCCTCGCCCCCGCCCATAACCATGCCTATACTTACTACACTGCACCGCACCCCCACATCGCCCATACTCACACACTCACGTTAACCCTACCCACACCACACCCACACCTAATCCCACTCCAACCTCACGCCGAACACGCCCACACCAACATCTACACTTATACTATACCAACACCACACTCACAGATCCACATATAAGAGTTCAATAAAATAAATTTTTTTATATGAATGAAGATGATCCTTTGTATTAAAAATAATAATAAATTACAAACATAAAACATATTTCATTCGATAGTAACAAAATGCATAAGCCTGGTGGGTGTGGGCAACATGTTATTAGATGTTATCACACCCAAAAGTTGCCACATCATCATCCTAGTCATTTTGGGTGTTATAACGCCAAGTGTGGAAAAAGGCAACACCAAATAATATGGGATAACACCTACAATTTTCTATTTCTTTTTTTGGATGTTTTTAATTTCTATTTTTCTAATTTGTTTTATTGCTTATTTATGTCATATATTTATAAAAAAAACATATAAACTAATAAAATATAATTTCATTAAATACTTAAATTAAACATACCATTAAAACTTAAAAAAGAAAGCATTAGAAAGCAAAAAAAAAAAAAAAAAAATTGACTAGAAAACACACAATAGTCATAAAAATTTTAAAAACTAAAAACCGATAAACTATTCATCTTCCAAATATTTGTTCTCGATATTTGCCTTCATTCTCCGAAGTAGTCCAGCTCGTCTCGGTGATATATTTTCCTCGCTAGTCGTTAGAATATTCAAATCATTTGATATGCGATCTTGCTTGACTTCTTGACGAAGGAAATCAAAATGCTCATGGTGCAATTCATATCTTTTATTTGCGATTGTGGTGTGGGTATCAAAATTTTCTTTCATTTACGAGTGCTCTCAAAGCCGACTTTCACTTTCCTCTGCATGTCGTTGAGCACGCTTCGTTTTGTCCCGCCCCACCGGTCGTTAAGACAGGGAGATTTCTTCGATGTCGTCGAGGTCATCCAAAAGCTCATCGGTGTCCGGGTTGAGGTCGATGTTCGTGCGTCCGTCAGAAAACGTATACCGAACTCGAACCACAAGACCTCTTTGATTGTTCCTAAAATGTTTTTGTTTTAAGCCATTTTGGGTCATCCTTAACAATCTCCCAAATCTTTTCGTACTCGAAAACGTAACCCATCTCGACATGATATTGCTCCATTGCCGCTCTAAAAACATCAAAATCGTTCGCACCACTTTGCTTGTGTGAGGAAAGTTTGTTATAGATGGAATTGAATTTAATGCACTTCTTGCTTATTTGAGTCTAGTTGCTACTCAATATATCGTGATTGCGATATCTATCACCCTTATTCAAAATTGTGCGAAAATTTTCAATTACAATTTCCCAAAAAGCAACTTTTTTCATATCGTTTCCTTTAGTTGGGTGTTTTGATATCCCGCACCACGACACCGCCAACGCATATTCTTCCTCCATGATCCACCAAGTTTGAGGTTATTCTACGAGTTGCTCCGCCGTGACCGCTTTCCCTTTCTTTTTTCCTCTCCCTTTGTCTGTCGTTTTTTCCTAGTCCCCCCCCCCCTCTCCCGCTTGCGTCTTGGTAACCGTTTGTTGCATGGTTGGTTGTTGTATGGTATTTTGTTGCATGGTAGTAAATGTGTTGAATAAATTTTGTGGAAGGGTTGTAGGAATTTGTGGTGGAGGTGTGGTAGAACTGAAAAAGTTGCCGAAAATGGAAGTTGTGGAGAGCTTCACGAGTTGAGGATGTTCACGTACGCCTTATATTGTGCAAACCCAAGAGTAACGAATGTGTTTTTGTTAGGAAGAGGAATCCATATTGTATTTTGTGTATAAAAAATAAAAATTAAGAGAAAGAAATGTAAATGTGTAGATAAAAATGAGAGTTAAATTGTGCATTTATATAATAATAATAATAATATAAAAAATAAAAATAAATCATTTTTATGACCGGTTTCTCTCAAATTCAAGCCACAAACGAGCAAATAACCGCATTTCATCACTTTGCCATGGTAACGCCGGCTACCATAACGCTTAAAATCGCGCCCCCAGGACGGTGTTTCCAGCACCGTTTTTCATCGGCCACATCAGCATAACGCCTTAGGGCGTTGCCCACTCCATATGGTCTAAGTGATTTCAAGTATTCGGATTCTAATTTATTTGACAGATTGCTATCCTTAAAAAACATATTCGAACCAAACACCATCCTAGTGTTGAATTCGGTGTACGTTTCTTTTCATGGGTAATCATTTGTTTGCTGTCGAGGATACACTATTTCATACTTTATTTTATATTATCTTCTTTGTGTGGTTAGATCATAGATGTGTGTGCTTGGAATATATATCTCGGTGTGATACTTTATTCACATGTTTATAAGCCTTGATACATTGCAATATATATCCTGCTATATAACAAAAGATTCAAAATTTCCAAAGTATAATTTGGTATCATATATTATCTCTAATTTTAATCAATCTTCAAAGATGAACAACCCTTTTAAGAATTATATTATATAATATTACAATTAGAAAGACCAAAAAACTATAGATGTGAATTGTTCACCTCCTGTTCAAGAGCTTCTTCCAACAAAAACCCAGATTGCTCCATAAGATCTGGGCTTAATCTGAACATCAAAACACAAAACTCCATCTGATTCAACGCACCATCACCATCATAATCTCCTTCTCTCAACATACTCAACAGATCATCGTCGCTCAGATCCTGTAGCCCCAAAAGGGACGAATTTTTCTTCAAGCTATCGAACGTAATCAAACCTTTATCAGCGTCCATCAACAGTCGGAATCCATTGCATAATTCTCCGATCAAACCATCGCCGCCCAATTTCTCCTCAATCAAAGGTAAATGATCCTGAAACTCGATTTGATTCGTCGATGCCGCCATTAACGCTTGGAAGATCGATTGAAGATTGACAATGTAGAAGTGATTTCACCTTTCATGTATAGATCATATATATATTAAGAGGAAGTTGACCAGTTCCGAAAGGTGGAATTTTGGGGGTATTTCAAGGAAGGTGGAGATCGGTGGCTTTGAAATTTGATCGACGAAGGTAGAAATCAATGGTGGGGAAGTAAAGTCGTGATTTTGTTTGGAGGTGGGGGAGGTAAGATGCTTCTTGATTGGGGGAATTTCCAATGAAATTGGTTAAAGCGATCAAGTGAAGTAATCGTTGATGGTGACATATAAGAACACGTCAACCTACCACAAATTAAACGGTTTAGGTCGAATCCACCAACTTAGATCCGACCCGATTCGTTAGCCTAAGTAATGCTATCGACTAGACTTTAAAGGATATAATATAGTATTTTATTCATGTGTTTCTTGTTTTCTTCATGGGCTAAAGACTTTTGACACTATTCTTTTGAAATCATATTATGCATTCAACGTATAGGCGCTCGATTTCGTTATTTTATTCTAATAGTTAGACTAATAGTTAGAAATTAGTATATTTTGAATTTAAAATTGTAAAAGAGAATATGATAGAAGTTGTTTATGTGATGTATTAAAAAAAATTGTAAACTACATCAGAATGATATATTAAAAATTATAGACCTGTCCGTCGTAACAATTTAGTCATACGAAATTACGGATTATTGGTGAAAAGGGTTTATTTTTATCTTTTTATCGTTTAGGGATCTCGTCTAAAAGGGGACATTAATAGGTTTGTTTTTCCTACTAAGTTATGAATTTTTCCTACTAAGTTATGAATAGATGAAGTAACCAAAAGGATAATAATATATGTTTGGATTATATTATAATATAATGCTTTTTTTTTCTTGAACATAATAAATCTTCTAAACGGGAAGGAAATGAATCACCACTTATCCTTTTTACTCTTTGTTGGGATGTGAAGGCTTGAGCAAAAGTGATATCGGTGAGTAAATGTGTTATTGGTGAGCAAATGTTGGTATTTTAATGTCATCAACATATTTTGGTGTAATTATTATTAATAATGAGATAAGCCGAGCTTCATTTACTAACCGAGCTTGGAGGTGCATGGAAGAACTTGGTGTGATAATTATGAACCCAAGAATAAGGGGGTTTGAGGCAATCTCCCTGGGTGCAGGGTTCCAAGGGGCTACAACCCCTTGGCGGGATCTAGGGACAGCACCCCTAGCGGGTCCAAGGGGCAACACCCCTGGCAGTGGTTCTATTCACTTTCCCGCTAAAACTCCCTTGATGATGTAAGCATTAGTTATATCTAATAACTATTGGTTTTGGCGCCAAATCTGGAGGCAACCGTCATAACCTCTTTTCCCGCTAATATAAGAACATTTCTCTGGTTCAGAAAAAGGTTTGGAACTGATATAAACGAAAAGTATATTTTGTTCTCTCTATCTCTACAGAACAAATAACAGCAAGGTATATTTCTGAAAGATCCACTTTCTAAACTTTTGTATTTCTGAAAGACCCAAACTTTCATACTTCACAATATAGATACTCCAAAACATGCTACAATCATATTAAAACAATATATTTTACATTGATACTTTGATTACGAAAGACTAGATACAAACCAACTAAATTTTAGTATATTACATAACTATCCAAGATACTAAAGCTTTTATACAAACGTAAACCCTAGTACAAAAGTAATAGTATAAACTATTCTCAATCCTTCAACAGTATATGACTAAACTGGATGTTTATTACCTGCAATGGTTAAACACTGAGAGGGGTAAGCGGTGATGTTTAGTGAGTTCAATAATAAATATAATATAACGCTATGCCATATACATACATATCAATATGACAGAAGCAAAGAGGTACAAAGAACAACAAAGGTAGATGAGTATCATATGGCATGCTTTCCATATCAACGAATAATCTTATTCAAAGATATACAATCAATGAGACATAACAATTTCAATACTTGATATACATCAATAAGACTTTTGCCCATATGGCATGGAAAATAATCAATTTCTGAATAAACATTTTGGTTAGCAAACTATAGGCATTTAGCCCTGCCTAGCCTTCTGCCAATGCCATAATGGTAGAAGTTATTCTCTTACGAGATATGCTCTACATGGCCAGAGGCTACATACATGAAGCCAAGTGATGCTTATGTCATACACTTCATGGTCTAAGGTATAACTCATTATCATAATAACATGGGAAAACACATTGAACATATAACACATAACATACAATTGTTCCTATATATTGAACTCACCGTGAAATAACCAAAGGAATAAATGATAATTTGGACAACACATCGGCTCTAATTATGACTTTCTGTGACGAAACTGAGAATTTTAGTTGAAAACCAGCCTTACTCGAGCAAAGTTTCGACATAAAAATATAATTTTCTCGGGAACTTCGGGACGTCGGGACTTGCTTCGGATGTCGGGTATGATATCGGGACTTCGGGAGGTTAAAAGTGGGCTAAAAGGGTTTTAGAGAGAAAGGAAATGAGAAATTTGTAACATAAATATGGCAGCCTCGCATCACTTTTATAGAGGTCCGAAGCAGCTCACTACGCGGGGCGTAATCTCGCTGTATGCGGGGCGTAATCTCGCTGTATGCGGGGCGTACAAGGCTACGTGTCCGCTGCTCCGAAGGAAAGGAACGTGGCTCGGACATGTTCGCTAGGTGGCAGTCTTGCGAAGACCAGAGATGTGGCTGATCCGAGACCCTACATGCGAACGTTGGGCGTACGCTTCTACGTGGGGCGTACCCCTTTGGATAAGGCTTCGAATTTTCATTTATTTTTATTTAAAAAAACTTGTAAAATCCGTATCTTTTCCATACGAACTCCGTTTTTAATGTTCTTTATATGCACACGTAGGCGAGAAACACTCTATAACTTTCTTTTAGACTCCATCGGCTAATTTGAATTTATTCTTATTATTAAGTTTTTAACAGGCCGGGACATGATAAGTCCGTTAAAAATTCATAATTTCTTCTTCTGACGTCCGTTTTCTTCTGTCTTTTTACCGTTAAACTACAATCAACGAGATCTTTAATTCTTGTTTAGGTTTTGTCGGCTAAAATTCACTCGATCTTTATTTTGAGTTTTTAGCTGTCTACTGCTATTCTGAAATTTAGAAAAATCATAACTTCCTCATACAAAGTCAGATTTGGACGTTCATTTTATGAAAGTTATCGGTTTAATAATTACTACAACTTTCATTTAGACTATATAGTCTGATGTGTGTAAAAATGCACTGGTTTTATTCCTACTCTAAAAATATAACTTTAGCACACAAAGGCAGTGAACCAGTCTTTTAGTGGTATAGTTAAATAAGTAGGGTATCGAACTCAGGGAATGGAAATTAAACTAATAACTAATTTTAACTAGACAAGTAAAAAAAGTAAAGGGTTTTTCTGTAGTTTTACAAGACTAGAAACTTAAACACACCTCCTAACACGTAATTAACTACACAACTAAGACAAGTAAAAATTCACCAAATTTAATAAAAGGTTTCTGTTTAGGTCCAACTAGTTCACTCCTATGGTCAATTTCATGATAGAATAATATATTGATTGTTATTGGTTACCAACTATAGTGATTAGATTCGCATTCGACATTACCAACCGTTAGTTCAATTACTCAATTTATGCAGTGATCAAGTGTTTAAACTAACTAACTCCCTAGTTCAATTATTTGGAATAAATAGGATTTGTAATTGGTTAATCAAATTGGTGGTTCAACTAACCACTTATTTGTTGGTTTACCAAACAAGCTCACACATTAATTTACCCATTCTCTAATTAATCCTAGTTTCATATTCACTAATCCTAAGCATATAATGAAGTGTTCACATAAATCATATGAGGTTGACAATTAAGAGATGTTCATGCAGCCTAATTGTCTTCCAATTAACTGGAAAATAGTTATAATCAATGCAAAAGGTTCTTTAACAAACTTAGTTTAGTAAACTCACCAATAAACAATCAAACAAAGTATAAATCACACCATAGGAGTAAATTAATCTTTCCTAAACAGAAACTACGAAATTCAGCTCATGATTACCGTCATAGAGAAGCTAAAAACGAATTCAATTAAACTAAACATGATTCACTTCTAGATTAAGTGGAAGATTTAACCTAATTTGCCTTGAGTCTTCTTAATGATCAAAGATTAGGGTTTTTCAGGTCTCCAAAGGTATATCCAGTCGTAGGTTGATGCTCCAAGGAAGCCAAAAAACTCCACAATTCGGGATCTCAACCGATATTTATAATTATATCAAAACAGGGTCTACTCGGCGAGTAGGTGCCCAACTCACCGAGTACCTTTGAGAAATATGTGTACGACAAGGATTTTGGATATTACTTCGCGAACATTCAACTGGACTCATTGAGTAGGCCTCTGGACTCGCCGAGTAGGGTCAGGTGTGTTCTTCTTTCTTCATTCTCCAGCTTCTGATTGCTTCTCCTTCTTTCTTTTTTCTCCCAAGCTTGTCTTCTAAAATGAAAAATACAATTTAGACATTATTAAGTACCTTTTGTCTATATTATGCAAATAATTAACTAATAATTGATAAAATTCTATACTAAAAACATGGCTAAATATGCACATATCAAAATACCCCACACTTGACTTTTGCTTGCCCCTAAGAAAAACTGAATTTTAGCATACGAGAATCACATAAGACAATCCCAATTGAACCCAACCATTATGCCAAGACCGCAACGCATGCATTTGTGTCTAAAATTTTCCTAAGGAACCCCCCATACTCTAAATACTCATAATCCTCATAAACATTCTCCCACTTTTTCCGAACAATCCTCATTTTATGCATCCCTCCGACTCCATCCGCAGAAAACCTCCTAACCTCAAGGTATTTTTGGTTGAACAACCCAAGCATGCATAATCTAGAAAATTACAATTTATGATACCACTATGGAGCTCTTTTGGATCCTCACTTCTTTGACAT